AAAGGCTGTCCAATCTCTTCTTAAAAACTTCTGTTGTTGGAACACCCACAGTTTTGAAGGCAAGCTGTTCCACTGATTGTTTTTCACTATCAGGAAATTTCTCCTTAGTTCTAGGTTGCTTCTCTCCTTGATAAGTCTCTATCCGTTATTTCTTGTCTTACCCTCAGGTGTTTTGGAAAATAGATTGTCCCTCTCTTTTTTTCTGTCAGTCTCTCAAATATTAGAAGACAGATTACAAGGTCCTCATCCATTAGCAAGTATAATATATTTTTTTAAAAAACCTTATGTGTATGTCTGTTAAGATCTAAAATAGTCTGAAATATTTGATTTTTGTGATTCTACAGGCCAGACTTTATGCAAAACAATTAATGGCAAAGTTTGCATCAGAACTCAAAGCAAGACAAAGTAATAGGTTAACCTCTCAGAACATATAATTTACAGATCTCAAGGTTGTTATTTTAACTACACCAGCATTATAAAGCAAGAAGATTCTGAACTCACATATGTAAAAAGCTTTCAGGCTATCTCAGAAAATGTTTTTCAATAACATTGTTTTGTATAGGAAACTATAGTATAGAAATATTATTCTTTCTACTTCACATTACTAAAAAGGGAATAGAAAAATAAGTATGGAAATATGAATGGCAGGGCACGTTCTACTAGAATAAGTAGCTTTTATTTAGTTTCATGTTTTTAATTGCTCTGACATTCCTTTCTCCTTTAGTCTTGATCTGTTTCAAGTCTGATAAAAGTTCTATCATTTTATAATGTTGGTATAACAGGAAAAAATTAACTTTTCAAGGAGAACGATCTCCATATTGCCCTTAAAATGTCATTGATAGCAATATTTTTGAGACTCTTGATTTCAAAAACAGTTTAGATTATCTATTATCAATCTGAAGTCAACCAGGATCTGTTTTTGAATCTTGATTAAAAATGTAAAATCTTCCTCCTTCCACACACTATAGTAGAAATTATGAAAAACTATAACTTCCCTTCTCTACCCCCTGACAAACCTCCAGTGTTGTATGTGCTTATCCATGCATGTATGTATACATGTATGTTATGCATTTACAATGCTTATTTATTTATATATTATACATTTGTTTAAGGCAGGGGTGTCAAAATGGCGGTTCATGGGCTAGATGCATCACACAAAAGCCATATCCATTCCAGCTCCAGCAAAGGGGAAAAAGTTCTGATATGTCGCAACACATCACATGACATGGTGAGTTTGATACCCCTGGTTTAAGAAAATAGCTAGTAATCAATTGTTGGGCAGAACAGGAACACATGCCCTTTCAATATCTACCCTATTTAAATTGAGTATCAGCAATGAAAGCTAACATACAAACTAATTTTATTACTTTCTGTTTCTGTTCATTATTGTTTATCACTAATCAATTATAGCTGTTTAGTTAAAAAGTGTGAAATTTCCCATGCAGTGTGCGTGTATGGAGTATCACAGAAGTTTTGTATAATCAATCAATCAATCAATCAATCAATCAATCTCAGAACATATATTTTGGTAGTGGGGATGAGAATTCCAAAAGCACCTGAATAGATTTTATGCCAAACTAAAGTGAATAAAATTATACTTTTGCACATATGGCAAATATCAATCATATTTGATTATATTTTAGGTGGCCATACCTTGGCCCTATTTAGCAGATTTGAACACTACAGTGATATTACAATGGATTGTGCCACTTTGATGAGAGAAGTCTAGCAAGTGCTATACTTAACCTTTATAACTTAAAGATAGAATCCATCTTTCACAGATTTTTTTAAAAAATATCCAGGTTAATACTTAATTTCTTCACTAAAAAAACATTAGCAGCCATTCCTTTAAAATAAGTTCCATAGTTGTATGAATTTTCAGGTTTTATGTCTAATAAATAAGAAATAATTGCTGGAGGAATCTATTTGTGCAGATGTATGATTTTTTTTAAGGTGATGGATGATAAGGACTAACATAGCTCAACAGCTAGCTTACCTCCTATCAGGAGAATCAGACCGAAGTCGTGGACCAAAAAGTGACAAGCTGAAAGACAAAGAGGGAGCACAGAGCATGCAGTCAATTCTCTCGCTATACTTCATTATCCTTTTGGTCACTAAATTTTGAACAGATGGAACCAATGCCATTGAAATTGCTCTTCTAACAGTAATTGCCATAGCCCTTGAACATGAGATGAGGACAGAGTAAAGTGGTAAAGATATATTCTGTAATTAGAGAGGCCCAACTTCAATCTCTGGTATTACAAACAGACCCTGGGAAATCCTTTTGCCTTGAAATTATATCTATCTATATATAAAATAATAAATCACTCATCATTATCCAGAAAACTGGATTTGCAGACTTGTGCATATATTAAAGTTTTTTTTTCCTATTCTATTTTTGATCCTTGAGAAGAGAAAGGAGTGTGATTTGTTTGGGATGAAATAGGATAACACTCTTCAAATAGCAAAAGGTTGAATATAGAGGTTCATTCTACCACCCTAGAATGAAGAAATAAAGGATTTAAAATTACAAAAGGCAGGTTGTGTTGAATGACAGAAAAGGCATTCTAACAATAAGAATGGTTAAACCAATTATCTAAAGGGGTGACGGGCTACCCTTTGCTGAATGTGCTGAATTAGAGACTGAACAAAAATTTTAAATGGCTATTTTGATTTGGATTCCTCCGTGAAGCAAGATTTGTTAGTTCTTTTAACAGTATAAATCTAAAAATCAGAAGATAAAGGTAACATTTTGGATTTTCCTTTTTGTTTTTTTGTAACAATGTGTAAAAAGCTGTCACTGAAAAGAGGTGCATGTTTAGCCTGAGTGAAGCACCTCTGAGTGAATCCGTAAAAGCATTCTTTGTAAGATTTTAGTGGCTGCTTAGAAATCTTTCTCCATATGAATTGGCTACTTTATTTTTTTTTTTGTTTTCATTCTGAAATGGTAAAATGAATGTATACATATACCAAAACAATTTGGGTACATCCATATTTGCCAGATAGAACACTGAAAAAGGTATTGTCTGTAATTGACAAGAAGAAAATAGAGGGAGAGTTGATTAAATAATTTTGGAACATACCTCCAAAATTTCTTTTCCTAAAGAACATTGATACAAATTAGATTATGTTTTCATTTTAGAAGCTTGTTAATGATTTATGCACTCATGATGCATAATGCTCACTCAGAAGCTAGCTCTAAACAGGCAGTCTTTTGTCCTGTCACATTTTTCATTTGTTGATTCCTTCAATACAATGATACCTATCAATATTGGCTTTTTTTCTTTTAATATAGACTGAATATTTTTTTTCTCCGATAAAAAGCCAGCTAATGGATTTTGCAAGAAAATGTGTATAAAATGTCAACTATAGATAAATATTGGAAATATTCAAATACACCAACTCGCTAGAGCCACTGATATGCATCTGTTAATATCTTGCACTGCACGTAAAAGGCTGTTGCTTTTCAGATTATGTGAGCATCACCACCCTGGTTGTTGGGTTCTTGCTTTCCTGTCTTGCAAAATTAGGAGCTCCATCTGAATAAACAAAATATTTTGCAGAGCTGCTGGGTGGTACTCTGGGACCAAATGTCATATTTATTTAGAGCAGCAGCATACCTACTTAGCTAACATGTGGAGAGGGCAGAGGAAGAGCCTGAAATATTTAGGGTGGTTTTGTGATATCTGATGTGGAGATTTGATTCAAGGTAAGAAGTGAGTTTGCAGATAAATGGTTAATATGGCAGCCATAGCCATAGAAAAATCAATATGAAAGCCATAGCGATGTAATCAAAGACCTCTCCATTTTTTATGTATGACACACAAACAAAGGATCACATGATTGTAGCCACCATCTTGACATTTTTTGACTTCCTCTCTGTAGAGTACTCCCAGAAAATCACTGGATGTGTAAAATTCATCCCAGCAGCCTGATAAACAAACAAGCACTTGTATTAATCAGTGAAACATAGGAAGATGTGGCAAATACATTATTCCATACAGTGCTGGGAAGGTTAGGGTTGGGATTGATAACACGTAATATATGTTATCAAGAAAACTGCATGGATAGACAGGATAAAGTGATTGACAACATAGTGCTGGATGATGAGCCTCACAGATCGAACGGCACTCAAAATGCTACTGAGGAAATGCTGAGGATCTTTTTGAGTACTAATAGTGTTTATGACACAACTAGATTAAAGTTTTTGGGATGTCTCATTGCTGTTGTTTCCATGCAGGAAAGGAAAAGCTGACACTGCACAAACAGGATTATAATGGAAATGCAGAACATAAGAAGCATAAAAAATGGAAAAGCTTGTGAAATATAAAATGAATCAATTATGCTTGACATCTTAGGCATTAATTAACTGAAGTGGCCTGGAATGGGACACTTTTAGTCAGAAGATCACATTGATTACTATTCAGGGCGCAGAAAAACAAAGAAAAAAATAGGGTTGCTTTTATTCAGCAAGGATTTAACAAATACAATATTTATGTTCAATGCAGTCAGTGAATGATTGAATAATATTAATTAAACTTTATATATAAATTTTAGTATAATGATTATCCAATTTCAGGCTCCAAAAACTGATGCAGGAGAGGGTTGATGAATGATTTATTTAATAATGTATTTAGATATAGAGACCATGTGACTCTAGAATGACTCTGAGCTATCACAATTAAGTAATAACAATTAAAAAACATCAATAAAGAGAAAATGACATGTATCCAGGTAAATACACTCAGTTTAACAAAAAATATCAGCAACAGGCTTCCAAAACAATGCTAGGCCTGGGAGAAAAGCCCATTTAAAAAAAAAAAAAAGACCATGCATGAAGTCTCAGTTAAACTGATTTATTACTTCTCATGCATATACACAGTAATATAATGGTTAGCACTATTTTGTCACTAGATAAGGGTCAACAGAATTCAACAGAATTATTAACTTAGTGACTATGTGAGACTCTAGGCTGATTTCTCTTTTGACACCACCTCCAGGTTCTGCCACTCCTTCTCCTACAGTTGGAAAGAGAGACAAAAAAGGACAATCAGCAACAAGATTGATGGACTTGATTTACTACAGCAAGGGGTGCAACACTGAAAGATTTGAAATGCCAGGTTGGGGCAGTTCATCTTTTGTCTTGTCATCTTATCATCTTATGTGCTTGCTAAAAGTTGGCAATAACTTAATGATGCAAGAATTCTCTAGGTAAATTCATCTAAATGTACTTACTGAAGACTTCACTGATCTTCAAATGGAACTTCCAAAGTATTAAAAAGTAGACTGTTATATGGCAAATTCTGGAAATGTGACTTCTTTGGATGCCAGAGCCAGTTTGATTATAATAATGTAAGGATGAGTATCTGTAAAGAGCTGCTATCCCTTAAATCTCATCCTATTTTAACTGGGAAGCTGGACTGACTTCAGTAATAGGGCCATATACCCTGGCTCTGAAACTCCCTTTGATTATGCCATCACATTTAATTTCTTACAACTTTGAAGTTGGAATCCCATGAAAATTATAATGTGAAGCCTTTTTGTTGTTATTAAGCCATTAATTTCTTGTGGATTTTCTGTATTTATTAGAAAATAACTTCAAAAATCCAAAATGCGTCTGGCATGTAAACTTTAAAAATGCTGATCACAGGAAGCATATTAAATAGCTGTTGACTTGTGGGGATGATTTGATATCCCTGCGTGCAACTTCTTTGGGTGGGAGTAGATTTAACTAATGCAGCTCATTCTCCATGAACTTAATTTATTTTTTACAACCCTATGCAAACATTGATTTATTGATTTATTTTTAATGAGACAACAGTTGTGTCTAAAACATATGCTAAACATAACAAGGCATAGCTTTGTGATAGACCTAAAGGAAAAATCTTTTCATTCTTCTTCTTCTTTTTTTTAATGTATCATGGTCCTAAAATTATTTTTTTTCATAACATACACTGCAACACTAAAAGTAATAAAACACGTTCTTCTTCTAATTTCTATAGATAAGACAGAGAAAGTTGAGACTATAATATAATACATAAGCAAGCAATGGTAACGAATGCATTGTATTAAATTCAGTGAACATTTTCTGTGTAAAAACTTGAAGTCTAAACACAAGGCTGGTGGTACTCAAAGACATGAGAAATATATTTGTTTAAAAATTAAACTGAATTTCCGAAGTTTTCTGTGACCCACTAGAAAAATGTGTGACTAGCAGTTAGCACTTTCACAGGAACAACAATCGTTTTTCCATTGCAAAAGGTTTATTTTATTTATTTAGTAAATGGGCATATAACATTGAATTCAGGAGGGTTGTAATTTACCTTCTTCATCAAACTCAATATAAGTTAAAAGCAGGACTTCATTTTCCTTCCCAAGTTACCTTCTTTTGAATAGCTGTCATAAATGTGGTGGGTTCAGAATTTGTCTAGCATACAGGGACTATGAAGATGAACATTCCCCAACTCCATGTGGCTACAGATTGAATAAAATTACGGTATATCTGAGGTTTTCATCTGTTGTAAGTGAGAAAAAGATGAAGGATAGAAAACCTTTAGTGGGGAAGACTTACACATAATTGGGTGGGGAGTAGGGAGGGCTGCAAAGATGAAATATTGTCACAGAGATAGATGGGGCAAAAATGTAGAGGCAATTGGCAAACAAGCCATGTGCAAGGAAGGAGACCATGTTTTAAACTTTCCACAATCAGGATTGAAGGGATTCTGAGGGCTACAAAAAAGAGATCAGCAGTAGGTCAGACCAAGGATATTTGGTTCCAGCTATGAGTATCTAATCATATGTGTTTGAGAAACTGACAGTCTGATTAGGCATCATAACTATTTCTGATTGAAATATTTATCTTTCACTTTTTCTCATCCTCTTTTAAAACCCTGTGAGTTAATAACTATCATTACATCTCAGGGTAGGCAATGCCAGGTGTTATGTGAATCTCACATCATTCAGCTTTATTGGATCATCCTATTATGAGAGATGACAAAGAAATTTTTCCTGTTTTTTCTCTAAACATATATAGATGTATGCAAATCTAAAATCTCCCAGTCCTTTTACTCACTTTTCCCCTAACTTTCCCCCTACCCAACAGTCACAAGGAACATTTAATAGAAACACTTATGACTCCTTAGAAATCAGTTTGGGTGAACTTTATCAATATTCAAAATGTGATTTCAGTATAGATTTGCATTATGGAATTACAGCATCGGCTATTTTCTATTTTGGTACTGCCTATTATTTTTTTATTAATTTATTTGTTTTGTTACCCAATTCCATTTCAACAAGTCCATATTATAATGAAAGAAACTTGTTTAATTATTCTAGTCATCTATAAACTAGTCATTACAAACTATTATGATCAGATATTATAAGCTTAGTTCTTATCACTATGTACTGTATGTGTATCTTAGATTCTCTGATCTCCTTCCTTCTTTCCTTCCTTCCTTCCTTCCTTCCTTCCTTCCTTCCTTCCTTCCTTCCTTCCTTCCTTCCTTCCTTCCTTCCTTCCTTCCTTCCTTCTTCCCCCCCCCCTTGCATTATTTGATATCTCACATATCAATGCCTCATTTCTTGAACTGGAGAGATCCTGTGGCATCTGATACAAACACAGAGTCAAATCACTTCATCAGTTTAATTAGGAACAGATTGAACTGCATACTTCTACTTTACCACTTATCCTAAAGTCACTGTGGTTTTGGAGAATTTGAATAGGCAAAATGGGTACTTTAACACTTTCCTGCCATACTTATAAATGCAAATAATTTGAGAGGAGTTGTTTAGGAGGTAAAATGGGTTATTTTTGTCTCTGTAGAATTTAAACCACCTAATTTGCCCTTGAAGCTTCTTCAATATTAAATTTAAAAAAATGAAAGGCCCATTCATTCCATTGATGTCCAGAAGATGCCAGCTACATATTTTATGACTATGAGTATTTCCTCTCTTTTTTTTCCATTTTAAGGAAAAACAAATATGGATGCCAGCTGCAAGAAAATTTTCCACCTTTGATCTAGGACAGGGGTGTCAAACTGCCAGCCTGCGGGCCAGACACATCATTCAGAAGCCGGGCCCACCCCATTATCAGGAATGGCAAAACTCTCCCGATACGTTGCACAATATCACATGGCTTCACGTGTTTGACATGTCTGCTCTACGATATCCCAGAAGGACATGATAAGATCATGCTGCCAGTTTCTGCTTAGTTTACCATTGATACCACTTACATGGATTCAATACCTGCATATAATAACATCCCATCATGGCTAGATTGTAGATTGTACAATGTCTGTGAAAATAAAATGTGTGGCTTTTAAAATTTCTCCCAGTGACAGCTTTACATCTACCAATCAAGCCTAAATGAATTAAGACTGAATTCACACATCTGTCTTATATACTTTGACAATTAATTTCCTTTATGGCCTTTAGCACGTTGGCACATTCTAAGCTGAGAACTGCATCACAACATTTGAGAAATTGAACAATCAAAGGACAATTGTGTTCCAATTCAAATCTGAGAAGTGGAAATTAGGTCAATGTGGTTAAAAATGCCAGCTGAAACTAATCTCCTTAATTCCTGAGTTATAGAAAACTTGAAGTATTATGGAGACAATTTCAAAAAGTATTTAGATCAGAAAAGAGAGGCAAGATATTGTTGTTCTTAGGGAGGACAACACAACTATCTTCTGGAAGTAATAAAAAAAGAACTAGAATACTTTGGGGGCTACCATGTCTTAAATATATTTCTAATGAAATATAGTGTATCCTATGGGTAGAAAAGAAATAGCAAATATGCTATTTGTTAACAGCCCTTAACTGTTAAAATGACCCTGCCTGAAACTAGTAAAATCTCATTCATCTGAGCGTGACAAATAGCTATGTTTTTCATGAAAATGTGGGGCCAACTGGCAGTAGTATAGCCATAGGCAATGGCACTGACCATGCTTTTAAAGACTTACTCACCTGCATGGCATGTTTCCCATGAGTCTTTTTTTCATGATACCTGCAGGTCAAGCTGTCCAATTCTTTTTAAAGTCAAATTTTAAAGGGACTACAGGGAACCAGTGCAAAAATATTTCAGCTTCCTAAAATATCATATTCCATTGGCCTTCTTTATGGGTAGGAAGGAGATTCCCCCCCCCCATCCTAACTTCATGCTGCTCTTGAATTGGAGAGGGGGGATTTACAATTTATAATTAGCAAATGAAGTGGACTTGGAGATATTTAAGATTAGCTTAATCTGATTAATAATTAAGGTCCGCCTCCCAAATGATGAGGGGAGAAAAATGAAACATTGAATACACTCCATCCAGAAGGAGATACCAAATATTTTGGGGTTGGGTTACTGGCGGAACATCCTCAGTATATATTGCTGGTCATATGAAAAAAAGGCCATCATCAGGGGTTATACAGCAAGACTCAGAGCCAAGATGGTGATAACAAAATTAATGTGGAGGGTATGTAGTTGTTCTTTTGTTGCATTTATTAATGGCGTGCCCATTTCAATCCAATGTTATCATACAATGTCTTTAAGTCAAGTGAGGAGATGTGGGATGTCCCAAGTAAGTTGCCAGGTATAACAAGTGTTGCAGACTATACTTAACTCTTGCCATTTGTATCAATAAGTTTGCTAATACAATTTTTCCAGTTCATATATATCGCATAGCTTTTCTTTAACTTTTTGTTTGTTTATAAGTCTTCTTCCAGGTCTTTATTTATATGTATTTAGTTGTTTGATTTTTGTTCTGCCTTTATTATTTTTTTTATAAATAACTCAAAGCAGTGAATATACCTAATACAGATAGTCCTCAACTTATGACCACAACTGAGCCCAAAATTTATGTTATTGAGTGAAACATTTGTTAAGTGAGCTTGCCCCATTTTATGACCTTTCTTGACACAGTTGCTAAGTGAATCACTGCAGTTGTTAACATGAAACCACTGGGTGAGATCATTTGGCGACACGGGGTGAGGTATCATCAGTACGCGGATGATACCCAATTATATATCTCCACCCCGTGTCCTTTCAGTGAAGCAGTCGACGTGATGTGCTGGTGCCTGAAAGATGTGAGGGTCTGGATGGGGGTGAACAGGCTTAGACTCAACCCTGACAAGAC